GACAGGAGGTAGAACACAGTGTGTGCAGTTTAAAAAAAGCCATTTTGTCTAAACCAATGATTGTGTGAAGGGGAGTAATAAGAACTGGAAATGACAGTTGATCATCGATTATTATAGCAGGTGAATGGCACAGTCAGATAAATGCTTTAATGTAATATCTGACCAAATCTAGGGTTTTGTACACTTCCATTTAAGATGAGCACTTTGGAGGATGAATTACACTAGAAAGAGACTCGAGGAAAAATGATTGGGACATTTCTGCAGTAGTCCAGGAAAGAGGTAATAAAAGCCTACACTAGTGTGCTGGCCTATAAGTCAAGAGGAAAGGGCAGATGTAGGAAATGTTGTGGAGGTGGCATTGACAAGATCTGACAGCTGATGGAGACTGAGGAGTCAGTAATGACTCCAAGGTTGTGAATAAGAGTGACTAGAAAGATGAGATCGCCCTCAACAGACATAGGGAAGTTCAAAGCAGAAGTATTGGGAGAAAAGAAAATGAGTTGTATCTTGGAATATATTATGTTTGAGATGCCTATGGGACATCCATTCAAAATACCCAATAGGCATGGAGATGAGAAAGAACTGAGTTGAATACATAGTCATCTACATAGAAATGATAACTCATGGAAACTTGTGAAATTATCAAGAAAAGTATGTAGAGAGAAGAGTTGAATAGATAAGCTATCAGTTAATTGATAATAGATCAAATTCAATCCACAAGCATTTATTAAACCCCTACTATGTGCCAGGCACTGTGCTAAGGACTAATGGTACAAAGAAAGGGGAAAAAAAAGTCCCTCCTCTAAAGCAGCTTGTAGTCTAATGAGGTAGAAACCATGTAAACAACTATGCACAAACATGATATATACAAGATAAATTGTAGATAATCTGAGACAGAAGGCACTAAGGTTAAGAAGTAATGGGAAAGGCCTCTTGAGAAAGGGTGGGACATTATCTAGAACTTGAAAGAAGCCAAGGAAACAAGAATGTGAAGATGAAGAAGGAAAGTTCTATGCAGGGAGAGACAGTAAGTGAAAATGCCCAGAGTTGGGTATGTGGAGTATGTTAGTCAAGGAACATTGAGAAAGCCTGTGTCACTGGCTTCCAGAGTATGTAGAAAGATGTAAGGTGTAAGATTAGAAAGATAAGAAGAAGACAATTTATGAAGGGTTTTGAAAACCAAATATATCTTGGGGGTAATAGGGAGCCATTAGAGTTTATTGAATGAGGACAAGGCTCTCCACCTGATAAAATGGGCACTTTAAGAAGACCAATTTGACAGTTGAGGGAGGCGTGGACTGGAGTGGGGAGAAACTGATGCCAGGGAGACTAGTCAGCAGACTTTTTCTGTAGTATAGGTAGGAGGTCATATGAGCTTGCACTCCCTATGTCTTGCCTCCTCTTCTGAACTCCTGAATAACTGACTTCCTACTTTTATCTTAGATTTTGGTAGTCTACAGAAACTGATTCTAACCCAGTCTGGTCTTGCCTCATTCACACCCTGTCTCTCAATTAAAAGGAAGGCCTTGTTCCACATGCTTGATGATGACCCTAATCATAGGCTCATTTCAGTTCCTCTCCAGGAAACATGACAAGAATGTCAATAGGGAGGTCATTTGCCTTCTCCTGTAGTGTATGAAATCAATTTTATTGTCCAATGATAAAGTTTCAAACCAGAGCTAAGTTCATATTTGTTAATGGCCTAATGACTTTGTAATTCTAAACACCCAGTGACCCTTTTTTTTTCTTAAAAAAATGGTTTACTGCTTGTTTTTTACATGCCACTACTTCTAAATAGTACTTACCCTGCTTAAAAGAACTCTCCTTTGTAAAAAAAAAAAAAAAAAAAAAAAAAAACAACTCTCCACAACATCTCCTACATCTGCCCTTTTGACTTATAGGCCAGCACACTAGTGTAGGCTTTTATTACCTCTTTCCTGGACTACTGCAAAAGTGTCCCAATCGATTTTCCTCAAGTTTCTTTCTAGTGTAATTCATCCTCCAAAGTGCTCATCTTAAATGGAAGTGTATAAAACCCTAGATTTGGTCAGATATTACATTAAAGCATTTATCTGACTGTGCCATTCACCTGCTATAATAATCGATGATCAACTGTCATTTCCAGTTCTTATTACTCCCCTTCACACAATCATTGGTTTAGACAAAATGGCTTTTTTTAAACTGCACACACTGTGTTCTACCTCCTGTCTTTGTGCCTCTGTACAGGTTGTTCTACTACACCTTCGTTTCTTAGAATCCTTTGTTTACTTCAAAGTTCAGCTCAAATGGAGCTTGCTTATGAGTCTTTTCCTGATTTCTCTGACTGCTAATAACTTGTATCCCCATTCCACCAAAAAAAAGCTTACTATTTCACTGCTGGGAGAGGGGAGGAATGTTTTACTGCAGTCTTTTGGAGTCAAGATTGGATTACATTGATCCAGTTTTGATTCGTTTTTTGATGTTTTCCTTTCCTTCCCGTATAAATTGTTCACTTGTTTCTGCTTACTTTATTCTGCAACAATTCAAAAGTTTTCCCAAATTTCTCTGAATTCTTCATATTCCTGGATTTTTTTTAAATTGAAGAATAATATTTTATCCAATTCATACACCAAAATTGGTTCATTACCCAATTGATGAATAACTGCTTTGTTTCCAGATTTTTTTTCTTTTTTGGAACCACAAAAGAGTGCTGTTGTTAATTTTACTTGTAGGTCCCTCTACCCACTTTCCATGGCTCTTCACTGTGAAAGTGTCAGAGCATTGCCATTTTTAAATTTTTATATGTTTCATCAGTTGTCACAAAAAAAAACAAACCCAAATTCATCACCCCTAGACCAACCTTCTGGTGATGCTCCTTCCCATATTTAGCTAAGCTGACTGACAGGCAGCAGACGTTACTTGTCACTGGGCTGGTATTAAAAGCCATTTCAGCTTGGTACCACCTGTCAGAGATTGGATTTTATTGGCTTTGTCTTTGACAACTCTGGGTCACTTCTGCTCTATAATGAAATATTAAAATAAGACTGTCATGAAGCATGGACATAGATACTGTTTTGTAAAATAAGAATATAGCATGTGTTTTGCAATATATATCATAGGAAATTATCAGTTGTCTCACAAAATGGAATTTCCTAGGCAAAAGAGTAGATGTGGAGGGAACATGTTAGTAGAGTATCTTCTTCTGTAGGCAAAAACAGACTTTGGCTATTGAGTACAACGAGATTGTTTTGTTATAGACCTTTTTACCCTATGCAGAAAGGCAAGTAACAAGAGTATGAAATTAGCACAGGGATTAAATTTGCTAAGTGCTCTTAATTCAATTGGTTTGATATTTCTTCAGTGATGGTAGTCACCATCAATCTAGGCCTAGATAATGCAAAATCTAGAAAGAGTATTTCCATTGGTGTTGGAAATTCCTGATGGTTTTCCTTTATTTCCTTTTTAACAACCAATACTCCTTTTAGTATCTCTTTTAGAGATCAGATTATGAAACCAGCCTCAAAAATATAAAAACATTTTTGTTCATTTCCTACTTTATCTACAAAATCAGTCTGTCAGGCAAATACACTCTCTCTTTTCTAGGTATATTCTTTTCTACCTCTGGCCTTAGCATTGCCTGTCATTCATAGCTGTCACATCTGGCCCCTTCACTCTTGCCAACTTTTATTTTTTCCCCACCTTTTAGAAGTCACCCCAAAACGCACAAACACCAATTCTTCTAAAACCTTCTGCCCGATTTCCTAACTGTCATCTGAGTTGTTGACAGTAAAACCAGCCAATAGACATATGGGGGGGGGGGGTAGAAGAAGCAGAGTGAAAAAATTTATCATTTTGAGAATGTTAATTGGTCAATACATTTTTAAAATGACTCATGCAACAGAGAGCATCAAAATAATATAGCTATGACAGCTGGAAATGAGACTCATAAATCTATAAGAAAAATAAATGAATCAATATTTTTACTAAATATGTAGGTTTTAATAATCTGTGTTTTGTTGAATAACATTGAATATCTTCTTTTGAAGAATCTTAAATAAACTTGGATCTTAAAAATGACTGGGAAAAAGACTTTCACTGGAAAGATTCAAGAGATTCTTTACCTTATTTAATAACTTGACATTCTGTGCTATTTTGTTTTGTTTTGGTTTTTTTTTTTTTTTGGTCAGTGAAGGGAGGGAATGTAATATCTGATCAAGCCCAGGATTTTGTATGCTTCCATAAAACATAAAACTCACATGAGGCAGTCTAAGGCAAGAAAAGATTCTTGTATTTCAGCATATGAACATTTTCATCTCAAATAATTGCAAAGAAGGGTTTCTTTCAGAAATATATTATGTAGACACATTCCAAATTGGAGCAAGCACACTATAAAATAGCTGACCCAAGGCCTTCTTCAATAAATGTTGTTCTCTGCCTCTCTTTGCTTTCTTAGCTTGAGCAAAACAAATGTGAGTTTTATAATTGTTATTCTCCACAACACAGATTATGCGCGTCCTTATTTTACTAAAGACTGACCTCTGTAGTATGAAATCTGGGATTCTGGTTACATTTCCTTCCTAAAAGTTGTAGATAGGACTCTTTTAATGGTTCCTTCGGGTAATTTGGCTTCAGCAAACTCTCAGCTTAGCAGGAGGAGAATGTTACAAGAAATGAGCTGCCTTCAAGTTTTTCATTTGGCTTATTTCTTTAAATATAAAGAGATGCCATGGATATATTTTTCCCTGATATTAACCTCAAAATTCACCTAGTGATGAAAGTGTTCTTAGGAGAAAAGGAGTTAACATAATTACATGTATTTAATCAGCTTAGGAGTTCTAACAGAATTTACCATTTGCCACCCTAGGAATGAGTCTTTGAATGTCTATTTAGTATGGATAATAAAATTGTCTCTAGCTTTACTTTAATAAATGATATACATGATATTTGAATATTTCCTTTCTAGAGGTTCAGCAACATTTTCATATGAATTGACAATAATGCCGTGCAAAATTTCTTTTTAGGGTGATAATTCCTATGTGAAAGATCGCTGGTGTGTTTTTGATGGATTTATGGTCTTTTGCCTTTGGGTTTCTTTGGTGTTACAGGTAATTAAATAATTTTAAATTATAGGATCACATTTTCAGAAATATACCCTACCTATTCTTAAACACAATTATCTAAATAGAAGTATAAAAAGGAACTTTTCTGAGAATATGAACAATTAAATTTAATTGCATACCGTTTGGTGAATACTACCTTTCTTTTGAAATATAGAAGTGAGAAATTTAACCCACTCTTATAACTGCCCTTTATTCAATTGGTGTGTTACTTTAGCCTACTATCTGCACAGTATTTACAATCAGTCCTAAGACAGTGGCTTTCCCCCATCATCTTTTTTTTTTTTTTGGTCCAGACTTATGAATTCATCAGTGTAGGATCTCTTAGAGAGAAGGGCCTTGTTTCTTTTTTTTTTTAAGGGCCTTCTTTCAATATAGATCTGTCATTGTTCTGCTGCTTTTTTTTTTTTAAGTGTTGCTTGGGAGCACTGAAAAGTTAAGTGACTTGTCCATGATCCAATAACCAAAGTGGCTCAGGTCATCCTGGATCCAAGGTTGGCTGTCTATCCTCCCCATATTAGACTGCTATTCATTCCCTTGCTTCATCATACGATATCAAAAATTAGATTAAAACAAATAAAAGAAGAAAAGCTAGGTATCTTTCTGAGTTCTAGGATATTAAATGATGAAACCTGATGGGAAACAGTTCACACAGTCTTACTTATTTTCACCCCCATGGACATAACTAAATCAGGGTAGGGAAGACTACATTGGTTCTACAAGGCTCCTTCTAAGGAAAATTGGAGTAATATACAATTTGAAAAGGGCACAAAGTAAAGTTTTATTCTAAATAATAGTAGTAAGTAATCTAGTTTATCATAATGTATTCAGACATGATTTATATTGACATCAATTAAACTAGTTGTTTAATTTATATACAGCTTTAAAGATATAGATGGTAAGGCAGCCTGGAGTAGTGAATGAAAGAGCTGGTATTTCTGCTGGAAATGATTCCCTTTCCCTCAACCTTCCCCATTGCTAGTATTTTCCAAATGAGATTACCTTACATTTACATGGTATATATCTTGTGTGAAGAGTTATTTGCATGGAGTTTCTTCCATTAGAATGTGAGTATCTTGAGGATAGGATCTTTTTTTACTTTCCTTTGTATCTCTCATACTTGGTATATAGTAAGCTCATAAGAATTCTTATTGGCTAACTCATTGACTATCCAGGAAAACTTGGCTTCAGGTAGCACTTCTGATACTTTCAGACTATCTGATGTAGGGCAAGTCACTTAACCTTGTATCTCAGGTACAATATTAAAGACTTTAAGTTGCAGAACAGCTATCAATTGGTAGAGAGTGTTTCCTTTCTAAGAGGTCCTAATATCAATGCAAAAAATACACAGCTAATGGCTCACTTCCACTGCCCCCCACCCCACCCCACCCTAAAAAAATATCTAACTGGAAGAGGCAGCTTCTTTTATTAGCTAATTGGAGTGCTCCATAACTAGAAAGCTTTCCTTACTTTTAAACTGATTTTTCTTCTGATATAATTATAATTTATGGTCTTCTCTTATCCTAATTGGAATAAAGGTGCTAAGTAACATTATTAGAACACTCCTTTATCTTCTTCTCTTAATCAAATGATACTATTTATATTTTTCCTTCTAGAGTTTTCAGCTCATTTCCTCCCACACCTTTTAGATTTGCAACTTTATAGATAAAAAATTAGAACTCAAATTAATCTCGTCATTTTAGTAAGGACTTAAGCAATCAAAATGGAGTCTTTTATGAATTGTCCATATTTATTCATATTTAAACAAAATAATTATAGTTTTACAATAATGGTTGTTTTTACAAATTAGTCATGATGCAACAAAACTACATTTTAGCTTTGATAGTTTCAGTATTTAATGATCCTTTCTTAATTATCTTTAGCAATTTCACTTAAATTCAGGGTGCTATATGTAACTAAATTAATTTTGAAAATAATCTGCAAAACTTTCTAATAATTTGTACTGTCCCCACACCATTACCTCCTCCCAGATGGAATGGTATTCTTTGGGAGACAATGAATTTGTCTTCACTGGTTGTCTTCTAGTAGAGGCTAATTGGCTACTTGTTGAAGATGGTATGTAGAAAGGATTACTGGTTAGGTATGGATTGTATTAGATGACATGCAAGCTTTTCTGTAATGATGAAATTCTTAGAGTCTACGAAAATGTAAATATGATAAGTGAGGGGAAATCTGAAAAAAATCTATAACTGCATATTTACAGGTATTTGAAATTGCTGACATAGTCGATCAGATGTCACCTTGGGGAATGTTGAGGATTCCAAGGCCTCTTATTATGATCCGGGCATTCCGTATTTATTTCCGATTTGAACTACCAAGAACAAGGATAACAAATATTTTGAAGTAAGTATTGCAATCCATAATTTTAATGAACTTTTATGAATTTTTATTTGTAAACAAGCTCACTATCTTATATATTATTAAATATTTATTTTTCTAGGCGTTCAGGAGAGCAAATTTGGAGTGTTTCAATTTTCCTACTTTTCTTTCTACTTCTATATGGAATTTTGGGAGTTCAAATGTTTGGCACTTTTACCTATCACTGTGTAACAGTTGACACTCAGCCGGGGTAAGTTCCCTTATGAACACTGATTTAATTTGGATTCTTTATTGGAAAAATATATTTCTACATCATGTAGTGTCTCCTTGAAATAAGACTTTTTAATCTTCATTATACTGTTTAATCATTAAATCATATTACTTCTCTTCATCATTATTACCATTATTACTTGGGAATGCCAGTATTTATTCTTTTTTTTTTTTTTAAGAAAAAGTGCCTTACAGTAACCTCTGGGGATACTTCTTTATCTCATCATTGGAGGGCAATGAAGTATAAAAAAAGGGAAGGAAAATCACTTCCTGTGGTTCTATACAGGGGTAAATGGAAAAGTCTTAATCATTATGGTCCTCTCTAGCTTGTTTGACCTGGAAGCCATATTGCAGTATGTGGTCTGGTGGTATGACAGAATGATACTCCACCATACTTGATGAAAAACAATTTGTTTTATTAAAACAACAATCAGTTACCAAAAAAAGTGAATGTAGTAAAAATCTCATTCTGTTCATAATAGCAAGACTAATCTTTTCCTTTTTACATTTGGGAAGTTTAAACAAATGAACCTACATACATTATTACATATATACATACACATACTTAAGTATGATAGATGTTCTACCAACAGAAAAACACCCTGGACAAATCATCAGAAAGGTATATACATCTACTTTAAGATGATAACATTTTTTTTCTACAAGCCTTGTTATGCTTTTTAATCATTTCCACCAAATGAGAGAAATAACACATAAGATAAGAGAACAAAAATCAGTAATAAAAATAAAGCTCTTTAATAAGACTGTGATAAGACAATATCTATGAACAACTAATTCCTTTTGTTGTACTACTATTAAATTATAAAAGTAATCATGCATTTTCTAAAGTTGTCAGTTTATATTAATGTCTCTTAGAAAGATGAAACAATTTGCAAAGATTTTAATTCAAATGCATGCTTTTTAAAAATACATGTTTTATAAAAATCAAGCAAAACAAAAAATCTAGTATGATTATATCTAACAGCAAGAAAAATAAGTAAACCACATATACATTCTAAAAGTAATGTTTCAAGGCAGAAAGTTGACAGTATTGTGTTTTCATTTGTTTTCAAGACCATTATTGCTTTTCTGAAATGAAGTTATATTTTTACTTCAAAATGGCATTTGGGAAGGAAAATATAAAGCAAAACAGGATTGTACCAATTATTAAATTTCTAGGTAAGCTTCTGCTGTCAAAAATATGAAGTGTCTATGACAGAAACAATGAATGAACTATCTGGGGAACCATTTGTATTGGGGAAGAAATAAATTGCAAAAAAACAAACCTGGAATATGTGTACAAATATACAGTGTGAGAAGAAATTCAGAGTGACTAGGCAAGAGTATTTTTAAAGACTCTTCTTAACTAAAGTTGTTTATTTTGTACATTGAACAATTCAACATTACCCCAGTTTTTTAAAGTTCTTTTCTTTTAATATCTCTATGTCAAATCATTATGGGGAGACTTTCCATGAATACTGTACAAACACTGAGTTTGTGGTACTGTATTTGCTAAGTACTATAAAGGTTAAAGGCCATGGTAAAATAGAGCCTTCTCTGGGCTCACTTATAACTGGAAATTGGCTTCTCACAATTCCGCATTTTGGAGTCACAACAGGCAGAGAATAGTGTTCATGCTTTATATATAACCCACTGCATAGGGCAAATCCAAGTAAGCTCCATGGACTGGTTTATTATTGGCTAATTCCAAGTTATCTTCATAAAAATGCAGCAGAATTTGATGGGACTAAAAGATCCCCTAAGTCAAGAGTCCTTTCTTTAAAATAAATATATATTGATATATTTTATATTTTTGCATCATCAAAGCTTCACATAGTATCCCTCCCACAGCCCCATCCCATTTGACAAATAATATTCTTTAAAACATAAAAATAGAAGTAACAGAAAATTGAGTAAACTAGCTAATATGCCCTAAAAAAAGTCTGAAAATATGTGTAATGTGGTATACCAAACTTGTGGACCTCCCACCTCTACAAAAGAGGCAGGGGTGTGCCAGCTTGAGCAAGCTTAAACTGGCTCATGAGAGCCCAATATTAAATTTTCAGTGCAAACATTTACAACTCAGAAATCAGTAGGTTTGATTTATTATTTTGTTGAAACCAATGGGAAAATATTACTAATGTAGGTTAAGCTTAAAAGTGTGTCATGTATATTTTTTTCAGACATCCAGTCGATAAACATTTTATATCCTTGGGTGGGAATGTCTCCTCATATCTCTTCTTTGGAGCCATGCTTCTTTTTAGCAATTTTACAACATTTGATTTTTGATTTATTTTGAGGTTCTTTCTGTTTGCATTGCTGTAGTTGTATATGTTGTTATCCTGGCTCTGATTACTTCACTCTACATCAATTAATGTAGATTATTCCCTAATTCTCTGTATTCATCATACTCACCATTTCTTACAGCACAGAAATATTCCAGTACGTTCACAAATCACAATGGGTTTATCCATTCTTTAACTCATGTATATCTACTTTGTTTCCAATTTTTGCAACCACAAAGAATTCTGCTATAAATATCCTGCATGTGGGAATGTTCTTATTAACAATGTCCCCCTTGGGGTCTAGTACTGGAATCTCTGAGTAAGAGGGTATGGATACATAGAAAAAAAAAGACAAAAAAAGTATGGACATTTTACACATTTTATTTGAAGAATTCCAAATTTCTTTCAAAAATAGTTATACTGATTCACAGCTCCACCACGCAACAATGCACCAATATTTTTCAACCCTTCCAAAATGGACAATTCTCTTTTGTCATCTTTGCCAATTTTCAGTTTGTGATTCTTTTGAGAATTATTTGTTCATATCCTTTGACCATTTATGTGTTGTGGAATAGTTTTGGTCTTCTATTTATATATCTTTTGTTTATTTATCTTAGATATCATGTGCAGAATCTTTTCAGCTTCATGTAATCAGAATTTTCTGTTTTATTGTCTACAATTGCCTCTATCTCTCTTGCTTAAAAAATACTTATAGCTATGAAAGGCATATGACCTGCTTCTCTTACAATTTTTTTTCTATAATATGATATGCAACATTTAGTTCACATATCCATTTAGAATGTATTGTGGAATATGGTGTAAGCCCAGTTTCTGTCAGACTGCTTTTCAATTTTCCCAGCAGCTGTTCATTGTTGTTGTTGTTGTTGTTGTTTTTAATTAGGTGCTCTTTCCTAAGTAAGTTATGTTTCCTGGTTTATCAAATACTGTGTTGTTGAGTTACATTTTTTTCGTGATTCTCCCTTGTCTAGATTACCTATTTTTGAATTACCTATCACCTATCATTGAGCTACCTATTTTTTTAAACCAGTATTTGAAGGCTTTGATGACTGATCTTCATAATACCATTGGTCGTCTGGGAGTGCTATCTTTCCTTAATTTGTACCTCTTTTCATTATTTCCCATGATATCCCAGTTTTTTGTTTTTCAGAATGAATTTTGTTATTATTTTATCAAGTCCTGTAAATAGATAGATTTGATAATTTGGTATAACATCAAAGCTCTAAACTAACTTTGGTAATATTATCATTTTTATTATATTGGCATGGCCTAGCCATGGGAAATGAATATTTCTACAGCTAATTATGTTTTTTTTTAATTATTTCTTTGTGGAACACTTTTAACTTAATCTGTACAAATATTTTGTGTGCTTTGATAAATTGATCCCCAAATATTTTATACATTTTTTTGTTATTGGGAATGGAATTGCTCTTTCTATTATTATCTCTTAGAATTTATTATTGTCATATAAAAATATGATTGATTTTAGGATTTGTTTTGTAGCCTATGACTTTATGGAAGCTGTTGTCTCATTTTGTATCTTTGCTAATTCCCTAAGATTTTCTAAGTAAACCATTCATGTCATCAACAAATAAAGATAGTGGGGGAGACTGGATATCCTTGATTTATTCTTGTATTTATTGTATAATAAAAACAATAGCTTATATGATACTTTAAGGTTTGCAAAGTATTTTACAAATATAATATCATTTATCCTCATGACAGCCCTGGGAAGGTTAGTGCTATTATTATCTAGGTATATTTTGATTCTAGTTCAAATGTATCTCTACTACATACAATGCTTGTTTCAGATTTTAGAGAGATGATTTTTGTAATATTATAAATGTCCCTCTATGCCTATACTTTATGGTATTTTTAGCATAAATGATTGTTGTATTTTTAAGGTTTTTTCTGTATCTATTGAGAAAATCAAATGGTTTAAGGGTGTTTTTTGCATTAATATGATTAAAATCATATTGAATTATGCTGCTTATTTTCTTAATGCTAATTATGTATTTATCTATACATCCTTCTATCCCTGCTGCAAATCACATTTAGCCATAATGAGTGACATCTTAGATTAGTTACTATAGTCTGCCAGGACTTTATTGAAAATATTTGAATAGATGTTCATTAATGATATTGGTCAGGTGTTCTCCTTCTGTGCTTTATCCTTCCAATTTAAAATACTAGGACTACAATTATCCCATTAAAGGATTCTGGTAGGGTGCTTTCTCAATTTTTGAGAATATTTTGTGTCATATTGGTACTAACTGTTCTTTAAAAATGTGATAAAATTCTCCAGCAAATCAATTCATCAAGATCAGGAATTTTTTTTTCCTTCGCAAATTCCTTTACTGTGAGTTTGATTTCTTTTTCTGAAATTGAATTATTTAGGATTTATATTTACTATTCTGTTTGTTCAGAAGTTTTATATTCTAAAAGTATTTTTCTATTTCTTTTATGTTCTCAGTTGCTGTAGCATAGAACTCTGCATAGTAGGTTGTGATTTTTTTTATTCTGGTTTTGTTCTTATTTCACCTTAATCATACCCACAGACTAGATCCTCATTGACCGGCCCCCTAGAATATTTATAAAGGTGTAGCGGAATAGACAGGAAAAAAAAAAAAACCTGAAAGATACCCTAAAGTAGAGGTTTTTTTTAGTTAGTGTTTTT